TTTTATTGTCTCTTTTGAATAGTGTGCAGATGTTGTTTATCTCTATGTGCCTGGTGATAATCTTGATGTTAATCTCTGCTTATCTGGGTGATGATTGCTGGTGAGGAGATGTTCTGGTCTTTTGTTTCCTTTTTATTGTCTCTTTTGAATAGTGTGCAGATGTTGTTTATCTCTATGTGCCTGTTGATGGCTGCCTTGTCTGAATACCAGGCTTCCAGGAATTCCCTCCCATTCCCTTGCATTCCAGAAACTCCCTTGCATCCCTTGCAAGCTAAATCCAAAAATGCAAGGGAAGTTCAAATTCAGTGTAGAAAGCTGTACAGTTGCCTTTCAGATCAAATGCACATTTAAAAAAAAAAAAATTTGGATGGTTCATCTTGCTTGTTCAGAATTAGACTAACACAGCCACAAAACTCTGACTCTTCTGTTGGAGACAGTTTTACTTGGTCCACCTTCTAACTCCTCTCAGAGCAATCATCTGTCCAGCGTGCTTAGTCTTCCTAGGTGACACTGGCTCCTCCATCATGCTTCCTTGTTTCCCTGGGATACTATACATGAGCAATATCATAATGGTAGCTGTTGGCTAGGTTTGGCATGCTTGCAGGCACCTGAAGTAGCAGAACAAGCCATCAGGTGAGGGGGAAGGAGGCCCACTCAGGGTAGCTGGGCCCAATCTTTTTAGAAAGATGATGTTAAGAATCTTTAAAATACAGGTCTGAAGCCTGAGGGCATATCAGTCCAATGCAGGCAGGGTTTGTCAGAATCACTTCTAGAACAATTAATGGTATTGGTACAAAAAGATTTTGTTGTCATCTAGAAAATAATATATGCTTCTTAACTAACAGTATTTTTCTGGTACTGCAGAAGGATGTGCAGAACTGAACTCCATTGAGGAAGGCATGGCAGTCACCAGCAAGGACTCATTTATTATTGATAATCCAAAAGCGGAGATTCTAAGACACGGTAGACTGGTGAGTGAGTGTAGACTGGCTTTGTTCATGAGCAGCTAAAAGTAGTTTATTCCTCAGTTCCATACAGCTCAAATGACAAATGCCACTATATACTTGGCCTGCTTTTTAATAGAGAAGGGGTATGGCAAAGAACAACAGAGGCAGCAGGAAGCCAGGAGAAAGAAGCCCAAGGAAAGGGGAAAGAGGGTCAGAGAGACACAACTGAAAAAGGCCACAATTAGAAAAGGCCAAGGAAATAGAGTAGACAGTAGGAAGTTGGGACAGTGATACTGGCAAGATAACATGTAATATGTGTGGTAAGGCTGGAAATATTGCCTGGAATTGCATCAGCCAGGCAAAAAAGACTCTATTTCCAGCCACTCTTCAAAACCCTCAAAGGTTGGAGGGGATAGTTGTGGCAGGAGTGAATGGGAAGAGAACGGTCCACCTGCTGAGTAGAGGGTAGATTGATGCTAGTGCACCCTCACTTTATTCAGGATATCCCCAGGACAGAAATTCAATCCTGCACAAATAGTTATGGGCAAACAACACGTTTGTAGGAATGGTATCACATCTCCCTTGCAACATAATAGTAGGAACAGATTTCCTAATGTGCCATAAGTTGGCAACTGATCTGCTCAGAGCTTTGAAAAAGCAACCAATATAGGGCTCTTGCCAGAAAAACTCCAATTGATAGGGATCCGGGATAAAAGGAACGAAAAAGACCACTGAGATGCCAGAGAAAAGGGGTGAAGGAGTAAAGACAAGGAGGAAGAAAATGGATTAGAGGAGTTCTGCCGTAAATCCCAAAGAAACCAGCAGAAAGGCAGGAGTAGGGGACTAGAAAAAAAGTCTACCTCTTCTGAGAGGAGAGTAGAAATAAGAGAAAGATTGATAAAGGAGAAACAAATTTAGAAAACAGACCTTCCCACTTTAGCTTGCAGCCCTGGACTTTCCAGATGGTTCCCCATCCATGCACTTAACCAGAGCTGTTTCTTGCAGTCACCTAATGCTGCTCCTAACTTTGCATACCCCATAAAGACATACCAGATATGTCTTTATTCATACAGTTCTCAACTGTGGAATTGTTTTTCAGAAGTGAACAGCTATAGCTTTTGAAGGATATCTAATAGGACTATGTGAAGGGAAGGGATTTGAATCCTTAGCCCATGCAACATTCCTATCTGGATCAGCTTCCCCTCTAAGCTTCTATTTTTAGAGTGATTCTCATTATTATAATAAGGAAAAATGACTTGTTTAGGAATACTTTACATCATTAGATCAGCCTTTTAAGATATTACTATACAGCAGCAATAGACTAGAGGATCTGAAGCTGGGGAAGATCATCCTGGAGAAGTTCTATCTATGTGGTTGCTAAGAGTTGACACTGACTTGATGCCATAAGTTCATGTCCCTGAAATGTGTATATCTGTAGTCATCAGTATACTGTAACTGCTTCTTGTTGATGCAATTTCCATCTGAATAATTGCATATATACATTCTAAATCATAAATAATGTATTTTGTTTAGGATACAGAAAGCCATATTGTTGAACTATATCAAAAGCTGTTAAAACTAGAACAAGAGACTGAACTACTCAGGGATATTAACAGAGCTCTGAGAGATGAAAACATACACTTGAAGACTAAACTGAATGAATATGAGGCAGAAACCCATTTCAGTAAGTATTTGACATTCATAAAAATTAAAATAATAATTTTCTTTACTTCAATTATGTTTACTTTGAAATTGCTAAGCCAGCTGCTACCACAGGCTACTGATAGCCCTCCAGATGTTGATGAAGTACAATCTCAAACATTCCTTAAACCAATTTGGAACTGCTGGGAATGGGAGTTCAGACTCCCCATTCCTACTCTTAAAATAATTATTTTATTAACTTGAGACAAAGGTGTGTATGTGTGTGTGTGTGTGGGGGGATGGAATGATATCCAACTGGTTTCAAGTGAAATATTCATGTTTGGTTTTGCAATGGGGGGGGGTATTCTGAAGATCATTCATTTAATTTATGACATTTACTTTCCGCCTTTCATTCAGGAGCAAAAGCAGTGTACGTAACACTCTTTCCTCCTATTTCCCCCCATAATAACTCTGTGATGAAGGTTGGACTTGTTGGCCTCAAGTCACCCAATGAGATTCTGTGACTGAGAATGGATTTGAATCTGGGTTTTACTGGTGCCAGTCAAACAGCTTAAGTACTACATCAACCTGGTTCTAAGCTATGATGTATGACTGCAAGCATTACAACAAAATTACGATACATGCAAGAGCTTAATTTTGTTAACACACGTATCCCCAAGTTTCCTGCTATTGAGAATGATTGCAAATAGAGCTCCAAACAGCAGCACTCTCTACTGTAACATTTTATTGTGGGTCTCCCTTCTGTACAGTATATTCCTATTTTGAACATGTTGATGTTAATTTTTAAATCTTCTTATAGGTAAGATCTTAAAATCTCCTTCAAGACTCCATGTTAATAAGATAATTTCATCAGGATCAAAAGACAGTCACACAGCATGCAGTTCTCGGATAAGCTGTGACGCTGAATTTGCCAAAGCTCTCAAATCCTTCTACCAGAAAATGAATGTGATCAGAGGACAGTTCTTAGAACTACAGCACTGTAGAGCCCCGGTATATATTATAATTATCTTGGAAAGGCATGGATTACTCTCTTCTTAGTTTTAAAGTATTCATGTTATTTTCTGGGTGCCATTTCCAAGGGGTCTAAGTGTATTTCTCACCTCTTCACACTTGCTTCTTTCTCTAACAGCCTTTTATAGCCCCTAGATCACCAGTGAACGAAAATGTCCTTCTGTAGATCCTGGGTGGTTTCAACATTTAATCCCTTAGCAACTGGGGCAATTTTAGATTAGGGTCAAAATTAGAGTAAAAAAACCTTGAGTTGCTGCCAGAGAGGCCTCAAAATTGAACTCTAACCCTAGCCTTATCCCCTCCTGTTCTAAATATACCCAGATGTTATTGAAATCTAGGACACAAGAAATATTGTGTACTTTAACTCAAAATTGTTAGAGTAATATGATATATACCAACTAATATATTGTTATTAAGCTACATTGTTCAGATAGCTCTTATTCTATAAGCTGCCCATTTGCTGTTTTCATATCAGAGCTCCCATTTCCTTGAGAGGCATTATGAACCACACTGTTACTTAATGTTTTTACAATGCAATATTGCAGGAAAGAATGCTATGTATTTTGTTTCTAGGATGAAGATAACATCCACCTTCTTCGACTTTTTACTGAGAGACAATCATACTTGTTAAAGGATTTTGGAGAACAACTTGAGTCAAGTATAAGTAAACTTAAAAATGATGTTGCCTTAATAGTTAAGAAGAAACGAGAGGCTAGGCTACAGCAACCCATTAAGTGAATGTGGTTTACCAAGTAAAATAGTAGTGATTTGGTAATTATGTCAGTACTTTCATATATCATTATATATTAATTGCCTTCTAATTTCTTCACAATCTCAACCATTAACTTTTTGAAACTTTTCTTCCTTTAGACCTTGCTCATAGCACACAGAGTAGAACTCTGGAATGCAGTGTTATTGTGATAGGGATGGCACTGTGTGCCACCTTCAACTCTTCCCAGCGCTAGAGTAATAGGAGGGGGGGGGGGTTCTTTGCTAACTACGAACAATGAGACTTTATTTTTTAGCTCTCCTTATCAGTACTACAAGTCATTATCAAAGTTTAGACTTCTATATACTTATTTAGTTTATGTATATTTTGTTGATGACTTCATTTCCTCCTGAATTGAGAATAAACACAAGTGGATCAGAACATCCCGTTTCTGTTTAGGAATGTAGAAAAAGGCCTTCAGCATTAAGTATAAGGGTTTATAATCTTGCTTTTAATTTGGGCTAAAAAAGAAATTACAACTGGTATTCCCTTTTCCATTATACTATCTAAGGTAGGAGGATGAAATATACCATATTCTAAGCATATTATATCATGGTAATTCTTAAAATAGCTAAACTATGTATTAAACATTTATAAAACAGAATGGATCACAGATTTTCAACCCTTTTATTGCACTGAAAAATAACAAAGAAAATAACAGCAACTAAATATCTTTATTCTTATATATTACCATCTTCTGACATGAGATTAAGTTCTTAAAAATGCCAGCTACTCAGGTATGTTTCAGCTGCAATGGATACTTAAGATATGATGTTACCACTTAACAGGTTAAATGCTTTCATAATGCTACAGCAAATATTTAAATATAGAAAAATACTGGACCCTGTAAGACCTAAGCTGAGCACAATTATTTTGTTTCATTTGTCAGTAAAACATATTTGAATAAATGCACATATGGCTGGGTAATAAAGCTTAGATGTCAATGGAATTTATTCCCACCTCCAATATTTGAGCAGTTAAGGCACAGTCTCCACAAATGAACCTGCAATAACTTTCAAAAATCAAATAGAAAAAAATATATACATAGTTACTGTTTAAAAAATGAAATGAATCACAGTTAGAATTTGATGCCTATTGGAAATTCAGCTGAATGTGTTTGTTAAGTCTTTGTTTCTAAAAAAGCAAGAGAGCTCTGTGGATCTTTCCATTAGGTTAACCATTGTAGTTATAGCAGTTGATACCTATTTCCAATACTAATAAGTCCATCTTCCGAACTCTCATTTGAACCATTCAAGCAACAGTATCTTTACACTACATATATTAAATTTAGCAACTATATTTTTTATTATTTCATTTTGAATGTGTATGTGCACGCACACACACATGCACACATGCACAAACAAACAGGCTTGCTGGGCATGTTGTCTCTGTGTGTGTGTGTTTTTTTCAGGCTTCAGGCTTGCTTATGACGGAGAATTCAATTCCATGCTTGTTCAGTCTCTCCACAAGTTTTGTATTATAGAATGCAGCCCCAGGAGAATAGACACCACCTCTGTAAAACAAGTCACAATTGCAGTTAGCAACACACAAATGCAAGCAAGCCTAAATTTTTGCAACAAACAATAGTAATGCAAATTCCAATATTAATGCAATCCTTTTTGGGGTTAAAGAGAGGGTCCTCTTCCAACATAACCTAAAAATCATTTATCTTAGTGTGGACAGTTTGTAATTCAAAAAAGAAAAAAAAATCAGCGATTTTATAGATTGCATGCATGGAAAAACTACAGGATAACTGAAGCAATAGACAGTGCAACCACAAACATGATTAAACAGCAGTAAATCTGCTGAGTTCAACAGAACTTATTTCCAGGTCCATAAGACTGCAACTCAGAGATGTAATCATAAACATGATAGGCAAGTTTGGAGAAATCTGATAACCTTCTTTTCCAAACAGTGTCTATTCAAAGAGTAATATGATTATTCTGTGATTCATAAACCAAGTTTGGATGGCATATAAAACATATTTTAAAATGTTTTTATTCAGGTTATTTTTACCACTTTTTACAAGAATTGTATTTGGCAAGATCCTGTAAAAAATGTTGAGGGTTTCCCTTCCCCAAATATTACACAGCTAGACATTAGGATAAAATAAATCAAACTCCTAGCAGTATATTGCTTCTAATTTTTATTTCTCCCTGCCAGCTTTCTATAAATAGCTGAATATATGTGCCCAATGATGGTTTATAAAATAGGAGGAGTTACTATAGCGTGGAACTGAATGTCCATGCTAAGTACCCACATTTTACTGCCGTTTAGTTTCCCGTCCTTAAGTGTATTTCATTCAATCCCTCTGAAAGAACTCAGACCAGCAGGAGAATTAATTGTATAATTCCTCTGGTGCTTATTTTCATCTGGTAAGCATAGGAAGCTAAATAAGATAGATGTTTCATGATTAGAAGATAAAGACTCACTTTTTAGGAAGAGAATTCTTGTCCTTGAGAAGTGTCACAGCAGCCTGAACCATTGCTATAGGTGTAGCAACATAACCAGCCTCTATGAAGGGAAAGAAAAAAAGACTTCATTATATTCATCACTTCAGAACAATTTGAGATGAAAAAGATGGAAAATGAAACTACTGCGATCAAATGGTAGATACAGTAGTTGCTTTAGCTGAATGCAAGTAATGGCAGAAGAGGCTTATGAGAACTTGGAGAGAGAAGGGAAGTCGAGACGCAGTTGACAGTTGGAAACAATACCAAAAGGAAAAAGCAATAACATGTTAGTATATACGTATATGAAAACAGAATATTGGTAGTCCCAGTGACAATCATTCTGTAAATAAGTATTCAGGAGGAATTTTGTTGATGCACCTCTAAATATAAACAATATCCTAAATTACCTGTTAAATAACATTTTAATTGTTTATAATCAATTGGTCCTTTAAGTAAATGGAGGACAGGATAAAACAATCCCACTCCTCACACCTACACATATTAGGAGGGGGAAAAAAAGAACTGTATATATATCATTTTGGAGTAGTGGCATCAAGATTTAAAAAAATATTTATCCCCAGGCTGAACTTAGGAGAAATTATGCCACTAATGAAACAATAAACCTAGGTTCACCATAAACACATGTAAAAAAGGTTCTCTTTTCTCTGACCTTGATCATTCCTTGCCTCTTGTTACATCATGATCTTACTACTGACCAATTAGTACAGTCACTGAAAGAACATCTGGCAGTAAGGAAAAGTCAAATTGCAACTGATCCTGGCCAAGCTGATGGGAGAAAGTTTTTTCACCTTTTTCTAAGATGCAGCCAAGCAAAGTAACTACACATCCTCTATATGTATGCCACAATACCTCATTTTAATTTAAGCCCTCTCTCTACATTACAGAATAATATTGCTGCATGCGTCCTTATAAGTATACATTGCAATCACAATATTATTCAAGCCTTGAAAGTAGAGGTACACCTGCATGAAAGGAAGGCACTTCTATTCAGGCAAACTGATTTTCACAACCTTTTAGAATGTCACCTGTCCTTTGGAAGCAGTTTTAAGTAAAGGAAGCAAAACCTGACTGCACAAATAGAATTTTGGTTTTCTATAGTTAGAACTTGGCAAGTAGTTCTCCATGGCTTGCATTGTAAATTCTCTATAGCAACCACAAAACGCAAGATCAGCTTTAAATTATCTTGATTCAGTAAGGTATTTCAACTGCTCAGGAATGGACACATTTCTATAAATCTGGGGGAGAGGAAACAAAGCTACGGATTTGTTAATTCCCACCATTCTTCGCTTCTTTTTTTAAATTGTGGTATCAGGCAAATTGGCAAAATATGGTTAATGCTAATAGGAAGGAAAGCAAGAACGTGAGTGGCTAGATTTGTTCACAATTTTTTAAACAATTCCTCTGGGGAACTGTCTGAATGGAATCACACACTTTACTTGTTTGTTATTTCTCTGAAATCTTTTTCACATAAAAAGACTGTATTAAATACCACTGGAGTTATTTTGGAATAGCGAAGAACTTAAAAGATTATTTTCATTACCCACTGCTGGAAAAAAAAAGTGTTCAATGTTCTGAACCTCTTTATGTGACGTGATGCACAGGTTTCTTATTCTTATTTACTTGTAAAAGGTTTTCTTTGACAGAACTCCTTCACACACAGCAGCCACAGAATCCTGCTGCTTTCATCAATAATGAAAGTATTAGGCTGTTGTACCACAAACTCCACCCCTTTTGGGTGCACATCTACAATCGCAATGCGTGTAAAAAGGGGCAGGGCTTTCACTGCAATGCCATGACACTGCTTTTGTCAGTCTGACACCCCCCCCACCGTAGACATCACTGTTCACACAACTAACTGTATGGAACTGCCACTCTTGTATTTAGTGCTACACAAATCATGTTTTGTATCAAATAAAGTACTGTTGTACATAATTAATAATACAATTAATTTTGTTTCAGTATGACTGTTCTACCTGGTCCCTTCACTTGGGTGCAGATTTTAACATCGGGTTTGCCCTCTTGTGGATTGTGTCCTGTGCTGTACCCCTCTCCAAGAAAAGTCATTTCAAAAGATGCTTCTTCCATCTGCCATTCAAAAGACAAGAAATAAGCAGTATTATATCACTAGACAGCACCTCAGTGTACATCAAACACACATATATACAAGTACCTTGCAGCCTAATTTATGTCTGATTTAGAAGAGGTCACTAAAAGAAAACAAATTATTTTACAATAATTTTTATCTCTAACCTGATTTGAGAAAACAATGTGTATGTAACCCTAGAAAAACTTAGTTATGGTTACTCCTAGTATTTTCAATGTAGCAAACCAGATTCAAAGCTATGCATACTATGCTAAGAGAAAATAGCACTGTGATTTAGTTCTTAGTGAATATCCAAAGAATTTCTGCATAGACTGAGATCCTGATAGGCCATGTATACAAATTATACAGCCTATAGCCATAGTATCCTGTTTACAAGATTACATATTGCCTTTTTTATTCAACATTCAGACATAGTTTCTTATGCCATATAGCAAATCTGAACATATCCAATGCAGATCTGAGTAAAACAATCAATGGTTAAACAAGTAAAACTTGCCTGCTGGACTTCAACACTATTACTGTGTCCTAGCATTAATATTCCCAAACAGAGCATCAGCCATTGTTCACCCAATTTGTTTACAGAAACCTGAGTATTTACTCCGCATTTTTAGGAATTAAAATACATAATCCATGTATAGGATTAAATCATTTTTCTAATGTAGGTTATAGAGCACAACATACGTCTGATCTAGTACTGTATATTTAATGATCTCATGTTAATGTATCAGAGTAAAAAATGAATATTAAAAATGCAATCTCTTATATGGCATAGAGTGTAGATAATTGTTCAGTTAGTAATATGCAGAAAACAATGATTACAAAAAATATTAGTGACTAAGAACAAACTAAAAATTACCTGTTTTTCTGTTGGTCCCTCCTTTGTAAAATATCCTCCAGAAAAGAATTCAGGATACTGAAATAAGAAGATTCATAGTAAGTTTCAGAATAATTGACCAGTTCATCAAATTTCAAAACTATTTAAAAGAAAACCTACTTTTAGCAGGAGCTTTCTTCCAAAGTTGAACTTCACAAGCATTAAAAATAAAAGGCCAGCAAACATTAGCTTCACGACAGAAGCAAGTCCACCCACAGTGACGTAAGCAGCATACTGCACCTGAATAGGAGAGGCAAGTCATATCAAGTTTAGTATCCATTTCCATGAAATATTTCAGTCAAGTTAATTTGGATTAAAAAATCAAGGGCAAGAATTCATTCAGAATCAAGCCAAGCAAGGGTGTCAAAAAGTTAATCCACGAAATATACTTCTTATCCTTAATCAGGACATTGTAAGAACAGCTGCAGACATTAAAGAAAACACTTCTAATACTGTGTCTGCAATGTCAAATACACAGTATTAGCAACATATCTTGTGGTCAAAGCAGTAAGAAGGCACAATAATGGGCTTTTTTAAAGACAACATAAAGGAAACATATTCTGAAATGCTTGAGATTAAAGGATGGTCAGCCTATAGACAAAACATTAGAAGGAAAATAAGAATTCCAAAGGAATACCATGACATTTTTACAAGAGAAACAATTATATTCTTCTACCTATTGTCTGGAGTTAGGCAATTAATATTTGCTTGAATATGGGGTTACAAACAAGGGCTCGTGCCTAAAAGTAATGGGCTACAGAAGGGCAGCTGGAATTTTGCCTCTTCTGAAGAATAATTTAGATGGTGAGTTCCTATATACAGATTTTGAAGAATTAGCAAGATGTGGACAAGGGTTTATTATTAAAAAGTAAAACACCACTGAGGGCTTTCACAGTGTACATGGAAGATGGAAGCTCTGTTAAAAAGAGACAAAACTAATATTAAGTAAACTTACAGGTGTTTCCTGCAAATGTGAATGCAAATACCGCTGAGTTCGTTTTACTACAGAGACATCTGATCCCATGAATGGAATGGAATACTGTTTGAATTCATTACTGTAAAATACTGCACCTCTAAAAAAAGATGAAGACAATTAAAATGAAGCATAACAAATAAAAGTTTGACCTGCCCTTTCAATAAAAAGTATATTTACAATAGCGATAGGCAGGTTTTTTTTCAAGGGCAACAGGGAATGAATCCAGTGATGTTACTGGGGTTGAGATTAACATCTTCAGTTTGCTTTTGCATTTTGGGGAAGTGTAATTGCAAAACAGATTTGCAATTTTGGGGAATAGTGGAAAATCACTAGCTGCAAAATATACAGTCAGGTCCAGAAATATTGGGACATCGACACAATTCTAACATCTTTGGCTGT